GTGCCCGGCGCGTCGAGACGGAGGCAGAGCAGTGCGGCAGCCCTGCTGCAGGAGCACCGCGCGCGTGGACGCAGCGCCGCGACCTCGGGGCAAGGCGGCAAGGACGGTGCGTACTGGCAGAGAGGCCGCTGCACTGCGAGACCACTGCCCCGCCACCTGCAGCTCGCACTGCACGCCAACGGCGGCGAGTTGGGCACCGCGAGGCGTTGTTGACGGTGTGGGCGTTTGGTTGCAGGGTTGGAAGCTGAGGAGCCGTGGCTGCACATCGACGCCACCTTCTCGCTCGCCTCTGGAGTCGGCCACGCCAAGCAGGACTCCGCGGCCAGCGGCACGGCTGGGGACGGAGGGGCGGACCGCGCTGTCGCCTCGCAGTGTGCGGAGCGTGGAGCGGCCTTGGATGCCGAGGCGGGCCTGGAGAAGCAGCTCGCAGCGCGCGGCAAGCGGCACGCCTGCCAACACTGCGGCAAGGACTTCAAGAAAGCGTCCAATCTTGAAGTACATTCAAGAACCCACACTAGGGAGAAGCCTTTCCAGTGCAAAGTGTGTGGGAAGAATTTTACGCTTTCGGGCAATTTGACCAAGCATGAAAGGATCCACACTGGGGAGAAGCCTTTTCAGTGCAAAGTGTGTGGAAAGAAGTTTTCGGAGTCATGCAATTTGATCAAGCATGGAAGGATCCACACTGGGGAGAAGCCTTTCCAGTGTGAGGTGTGTGGAAAGAAATTTACTCAATCAGGGATTTGACCAAGCATGAAAGGATTCACTCTGGGGACAAGCCTTTCCAGTGTAATGTTTGTGGGAAGGAGTTTACGCAATCAGGGTGTTTGTCCAGGCATAAAATGATCCACACTAGAGAGAGGCCTTTTCAGTGCAAAGTGTGTGAAATAAAGTTTACCCAATCAAGCGATTTGAAGGCACACGAAAGATCCCACACCGGGGAGAAGCCTGTCCAGTGCCAAGTGTGCGAGAAGAGGTTCAACCAGAGGTCTCATCTTGCCGCGCACAGCAAGACCCACGCTAAGAAGAAGCCAGTTCAATCCTAATGCACGTAGTTTTTGTATGCGTTCGGACGTTTGCCCATGCGGCCTGCCTCGTAAGGCGCAAAGGTGTCCAAGCTTCTCGAGGTTCATTTCAAGGACAGAATTTTCGGTACAAATATTGTAGGTGTAAATTCTATCCATCCCAAATAGAGGTCATGTGATTGCGCCTCTGAGTTGTGTTTAAACACACATTGAAGTCTCAATTTTTTTTTGTTACGAGCTAGACTCAGTTAATTTCTTCTTAAAACTTAATATTTTTCACAAATTTTTGTGACAGTTTTTTTCTTACTGTATTTGGTTTTTAAAATGTTTCTGCCCTGTATACTTACAGAATGTTTTGACCTGTTTTATGTTAATTTTGGACTGGCTGGGTTGAAATATTTTGTCTTTTATTTGTTGTCTGTTGATTGTTCCAGGATGCTAATGCTTTGTCATTTTTTGTCCTTTTTTGGAGTGATTTTTGGTCAAATAAAATTTCTGTTCGTGTCTAGTTCTCCGATTGTATCCCTGATTGAGGGTTTTCTTGGCATACAATGGTCGGTTTATTGCATTTACAATGTTTTTTTGTTCTGACCTGCCCTTATATCGCGCATCGAATCAAAATGTCGAGCCCCGTCGTGCGTTGTGTGTCGACTTCCTTCTATTTCCCAGTTCACTTTCACTTGCCTTGCCATGCTCTATCGGTCTGTGCATGCCCTAACGGCGGTTGGTGTTGCTGTGTGGTCACGTGACCCGGTGCAGTGTCAATGTCATTATTCTAAAATGCTTGAGCTACAATTTTTTGCTGCTAATCCGGTCTGGCTGTTTCCTTGATAAATTGCTTGCTGCGGTGCAGTTATTAATTTTCGTTCCGCTTGTTTTAATGGTTCGGCATTTTGAAGTGCATTGGAGTTAGTTTTGAGTAGGGAAAGGTAGTTAGTGGTTGATGCAGTTTGATTTTGGCGCTAACGCTGTGCTGCTTGCAGGTGCCCGGCGCGTCAAGACGGAGGCAGAGCAGTGTGGCAGCCCCCCAGCAGGAGGAGCGCGGTGTGGCCTCAGCGCCCCGGGCGCTGGACAGGACGACTCGGACGGTGAGTGGCTGCTGGCTGGGGACGTTAGTTTTCGAAGCTCCCCTGTGACATTCTGACCACATCGTTCAGCACTGTTTTAGTCTCCGGAGAAGTTGCAAGTGGCTCCACTTGAGCCTACACTTCACGTTCTCCAGGACATCTGCATGCATCGTTTGATAATCGTATTGATTGTGACGAACGATTCACTGGCTGCCTTCAGAATTGCAGCCCCTGTCTGCACCTTTGCGATCCATGGCTTGCAATCGCCCTGCCCTAAATGTCCATGATGCTTGTCATTTATCGTGTGCTGTCGTTCGGACCCCTTTGCCATGGTGCTCGTTCCTGTCAAGATTTGAAATCAACCCCGCTGCAGTTTTAGCCTAAGATAGTGTCAGATCAGATCAAAACTGAAACCAACTCCGTGACAACCGCTGCTTGCAGGTGCCTGGCGCGTCAAGGCGGAGGCAGAGCAGTGCGGCAGCCCTCCTGCAGGTGAATGCAGCGCCGCCGCTCCCCCAGGACAGGACAACTCGGACGGTGAGTGGGTGGGGCTGTACCGCAGCCAGTGGTCTCAGGCATGAACTGGCCATGAAGTCGATAAGTTCAGAGTTCAGAATGCCTCGAGTGCCACTGGCGAGTACCTTAACTTCCCCAGATGAGCCAGATGCATCTCTAGACAATCATAACGAATGTGACGAACAATTCAATTGCTGCCTTCAGCACAGTATCTTCTAGGCTGCAACCGCCCCGGTCGAAATTTCCGCGATGCTTGAACTGTACCGTTGGCAGTCGTTTGAACCCATTTGCCATGGTGGTCGTTCCTGGTCCGATGCCGCCTGCATGGGCCTTCGTTTCTCCAAGCCATTGTATTGCGTCAGGCAACGCACTGCACGCCAACGGCGGCGAGTTGGGCACCGCGAGGCGTTGTTGACGGTGTGGGCGTTTGGTTGCAGGGTTGGAGGCTGAGGAGCCGTGGCTGCACATCGACGCCACCTTCTCGCTCGCCTCTGGAGTCGGCCACGCCAAGCAGGACTCCGCGGCCAGCGGCACGGCTGGGGACGGAGGGGCGGACCGCGCTGTCGCCTCGCAGTGTGCGGAGCGTGGAGCGGCCTTGGATGCCGAGGCGGGCCGCCAAGAGAAGCAGCTCGCAGCGCGCGGCAAGCGGCACGCCTGCCTACACTGCGGCAAGGACTTCAAGAAAGCGTCCAATCTAGAAAAACATTCAAGAACCCACACTGGGGAGAAGCCTTTCGAGTGTAAAGTGTGTGGAAAGAAGTTTTCGCTGTCACACAATTTGTCCCGTCATGAAAGGATCCACTCTGGGGAGAAGCCTTTCGAGTGCAAGGTGTGCAGAAAGAAGTTCACCCAATCAGGCGACTTGAAGGGGCATGAAAGAATTCACTCTGGGGAGAAGCCTTTCCAGTGCAAAGTGTGTGGAAAGAAGTTTGCGCTGTCACACACTTTGACCCGTCATGAAAGGATCCACACTGGGGAGAAGCCTTTTCAGTGTAAAGTGTGCGGAAAGCAGTTTACCCGATCAGGTGATTTGAAGACGCATGAAATGACTCACACTGGGGAGAAGCCTTATCAGTGTAAAGTGTGTGGACAGAACTTTACCAAATCAGGTGATTTGAAGGCGCATGAGAGGATCCACTCTGGGAAGAAGCTTTACCAGTGCCAGGTGTGCGGAAAGAATTTCTACAAGCAGACCAATCTTGCGAGTCACAATATGAGCCACGCTAAGGGGAAGCCTGTTTAATACGAATGTAGCTTTTGCGCATAGTCGGACATTCATGTAAGCTCCCTGCTTCGTAAGACTCTAAAGAATAAAAACTAAGGAATTCTTTGTATTTATAGCATTGTAGTTCTGTTCGCCATTAGATTTTTAAAATCATGTGATTGCGTCTCTGACTTACGTTTAAACGTAAAAAAGTCCCCCTTTTTTTCGTTTTGACCTAGAAACGATATTGTGCATCACTCAATCTCGAATTGAAACTAACCATCCATTAACTATCTATTTGATGACTAACTGGCAATAATTTATCTCACTGCATTTCGTAATCCGTCGCATTGTTTTCGACCTGTGTTTTGATGAAACCTTTCGACCTTATGTTACGTTTAGACGGACTCGCTTACATTATGAATACTTAATTTTTGTGTTGCTGTTTGTCTGTTTTGGGATGCTTACGTTATGTCATTTTTGAGTGACTTATTGTCAAATGGAAGTGTCGTTTGTGTATAGTCCTCTAATTGTATCCCTGAGTCGCGGCCAACGTGGTGTATGTATAATTAACTGTAATAACAATGTTTTTTTTTCGTTCTGATCATTTCATATATCGCTCTTAGAATCAAAGACCCCTCCCCCACTGTTCGATGTGTGTTGATTTTTTCCGTCACTCAGTGCACGTTTACGTGCCTTGCGTTGCTTTTGGCGGTCTGTGCATGCCCTTGCGGTGGATGGTGTTTGGTGTGCTTTCGTGACGTAGCGCTGTGTGAATCTAGTACATTTAAAAGTTCTTTTGCCATGAAACTGGTTTGGCAATTTCCGCGATTAATTGCACGGTGAAGTGTAGTTCTGTAGTTTCATTCCGTTCAGTATTTTGAAAGGCATTGGAGTTTGTTTCGAGTAGAAAAAGGTAGATAGTGGTTATTGCTGTTTGACTGCTCGCTGACGGTGTGCTGCTTGCAGGTGTCTGGCGCGTCAAGAAGGAAGCGGAGCAGTGCGGCAGCCCTCCTGCTGGAGGACCACAGTGCGGACGCAGCGTCGCGGGCCCAGGACAGGCTGACCCGGACGGTGAGAGGCTGGGGCCATGCCGCAGTGTGTGATCTGAGGCATTAAATAAACCAGTTTAAAGCTTCGCCGGTAAAACTGAAGCGTAGTTGTATGATTGATTCAAGCGTACAACTACGCTTGAAGACTTTACGCTTGGCGTCAAGCGTAGAGAAGAAATTCTCCCATGCATTTAGATAGGCGGGTGAGGGGCAAAATGGAGAACTATGCTTGAAGCCGAGCGTAGTTCTACTACGCTTGAGTTCTACCAGTGTTCCCTTCAACATTAGGCCGTGGCCTTCATCGTTCGGTAAGCCTCAAGTCCCGTTTGCAATTGCACGTTACACGTAACGTGCCCTGGGCTACCTGCAGGCGGCGATTGTGAAGAACCAGTCACGAGCTGCCTGAAGCAAAGTCATCCATGGCTTGGCGTCGGTGTTCCAAATTTCCATGATGCTTGCCCTGTACCGTTGGCTGTTTTAACCCAGTTGCCACGGTGCTCGTTCCCTCTTCTCACGAACTGCTGCGTCCATGAGTCTCTGGCTTTAAGGACCATTTACATGACTAAGGTGATTTTTTTCAACGATGACTGCTGCCCTGCGAGACTGCCTGAGAATTCTTTGTCAAGGGCTTACCGTTTTACCACACGCTACTCTTCGAACGTAATGAATTCGCAGCGGGTCCTTTTCTGAAATGGGAGTTCTATTGAGAGTTGAACCGTATCAATCTTAAAATGAAGCCCACTCAACGCACTAGCTTGGGATGTTGTTAAACCAGATCGAAACTGGAATCAACTCCGTGACGACCGTTGCTTGCAGGTGCCTGGCGCGTCAAGGTGGAGGCAGAGCAGTGCGACAGCCCTCCTGTAGGTGGATGCAGCGCAGCCGTTCGTCCCCTAGGACAAGACGACTCGGACGGTGAGTGGGTGATCTCAGGCAAGAAGCTAACCAGTCCGGAGTTAACAATGCCTCGATTGCCACGGGAGAGTACGATACCTTCCCCTGGTGACCCGGGCTGAATGCATCTTGTGATCAGATAATCGAAGCGGTTTTGACGAAAATTCAATGGCTATGCCTCATGCACAGCACTATCTTTGAGGCTGCTATCGCCCCGGTCGAAAATTCCGTGATGCTTACTTTGGACCGTGGGGGGTCGTTCAAACCAAATGGCCATGGTGGTCGTTCCAGCCACGACAATCTGGCCCCTCTATTGGCCTCACTTTCTTAGAGCGGGCTACAACACGTCGGATGATGTTTGTTTCTCGATAAAAGTGTAGCTCTGTGAGACTTGCAGACGAGACTTTTTAGAGAGCTGACTATTTTATACCACACGTTTCTCTGAAAAAACCTATGTTCATACATTTTCAGACTGTCTTAAGTGTCTTGTAACGAAGCTCACTGGTAGAACTCAAGCGTAGTTGTACGCCTTTCGTAGAACTACGCTCGGCTTCAAGCATAGTTCTCCATTTTGCCCCTCACCCGCCTATCTAAATGCATGGGAGAATTTCTTCTCTACGCTTGACGCCAAGCGTAAAGTCTTCAAGCGTAGTTGTACGCTTGAATCAAGCATACAACTACGCTTCAGTTTTACCGGTGTTGATTCAAAACGAGATGGTACTTAATGGCTGGTTCTCATTCAGATGTGTGACACAATACTCAATCAAACGCGGCATCACTGGTAAAACTGAAGCGTAACTCTATGCTTGAGTCAAGCATAAAGTTACGCTTGAAGACGTTACGCTTGAAATCAAGCATAGACTAGAAATTCCCCCATGCATTAAGATAGGGGGAATCTTGGCGGATGAGCCTGTTACGCTTGATTTCAAGCGTAACCTGATTACGCTTGAAAACAGTGGGTAATACTACGCTTTAGTTTTACCAGTGATCTCGTCACATTGATTTCAAATTTGTGTCAGGTTCCTGGAATGAGTGCACTGGTAAAACTAAAGCGCAACTCTATGCTTGAGTCAAGCATAAAGTTACGCTTGAAGACGTTACGCTTGAAATGAAGCATACTCTGGAAATTCCCCCATGCATTAAGATAGGGGGAATCTTGGCCGATAAGCCTGTTACGCTTGAATTATAGCGTAACCAGATTACGCGCTTGGAAACAGAGGGTAATACTGCGCTTTAGTTTTACCAGTGTGTCATTATCAAAATAAGCACAGCGTTTCTTGCAGTGGACTGCGCTGACGGCGTGCTGCTTGCAGGTGCCCGGCGCGTCGAGACGGAGGCAGAGCAGTGCGGCAGCCCTGCTGCAGGAGCACCGCGGCGTGGACGCAGCGCCGCGACCTCGGGGCAAGGCGGCAAGGACGGTGCGTACTGGCAGAGAGGCCGCTGCACTGCGAGACCACTGCCCCGCCACCTGCAGCTCGCACTGCACGCCAACGGCGGCGAGTTGGGCACCGCGAGGCGTTGTTGACGGTGTGGGCGTTTGGTTGCAGGGTTGGAGGCTGAGGAGCCGTGGCTGCACATCGACGCCACCTTCTCGCTCGCCTCTGGAGTCGGCCACGCCAAGCAGGACTCCGCGGCCAGCGGCACGGCTGGGGACGGAGGGGCGGACCGCGCTGTCGCCTCGCAGTGTGCGGAGCGTGGAGCGGCCTTGGATGCCGAGGCGGGCCTGGAGAAGCACCTCGCAGCGCGCGGCAAGCGGCACGCCTGCCAACACTGCGGCAAGAAGTTCAAGAGGGCGACCGATCTTGAAGAGCATTCAAGGACTCACTCTAGGGAGAAGCCTTTCCAGTGCAAAGTGTGTGGGAAGAATTTTACGCTTTCGGGCAATTTGACCAAGCATGAAAGGATCCACACTGGGGAGAAGCCTTTTCAGTGCAAAGTGTGTGGAAAGAAGTTTTCGGAGTCATGCAATTTGATCAAGCATGGAAGGATCCACACTGGGGAGAAGCCTTTCCAGTGTGAGGTGTGTGGAAAGAAATTTACTCAATCAGGTGATTTGACCAAGCATGAAAGGATTCACACTGGGGACAAGCCTTTCCAGTGTAATGTTTGTGGGAAGGAGTTTACGCAATCAGGCTCTTTGTCCAGGCATGAAATGATCCACACCGGAGAGAAGCCCTTCCAGTGCAAAGTGTGTGAAATGAAGTTTACCCAATCATGCGATTTGAAGGCACACGAAAGAACCCACACCGGGGAGAAGCCTTTTCAGTGCCAAGTGTGCGAGAAGCGGTTCAACCAGAGGCCTCATCTTGCCGCGCACAGCAAGACCCACGCTAAGAAGAAGCCAGTTCAATCCTAATGCACGTAGTTTTTGTATGCGTTTGGACGTTTGCCCATGCGGCCTGCCTCGTAAGGCGCAAAGGTGTCCAAGCTTCTGGAAGTTCATTCCAAGGACAGAATTTTCGGTACAAATATTGTAGGTGTAAATTCTATCCATCCCAAATAGAGGTCATATGATTGCGCCTCTGAGTTGTGTTTAAGCACACATTGAAGTCTCAAGTTTTTTTTTGTTACGAGCTAGACTCAGTTAATTTCTTCTTAAAACTAAATATTTTTCACAAATTTTTGTGACTGTTTTTTTTCTTACTGTATTTGGTTATCAAAATGTTTTTGCCCTGTATACTTACAGAATGTTTTGACCTGTTTTATGTTAATCACGGACTGGCTGGGTTGAAATATTTTGTCTTTTCTTTGTTGTCTGTTGATTGTACCGGGATGCTAAAGCTTTGTCCTTTTTTTTTGGGTGATTTTTGGTCAAATAAAATTTCTGTTCGTGTCTAGTTCTCCGATTGTATCCCTGATTGAGGGTTTTCTTGGCATACAATGGTTGGTTTATTGCATTTACAATGTTTTTTCGTTCTGACCTGCCCTTATATCGCGCATCGAATCAAAATGTCGAGCCCCGTCGTGCGTTGTGTGTCGACTTCCTTTTATTACCCAGTTCACTTTCACTTGCCTTGCCATGCTCTTTCGGTCAGTGCATGCCCCAGCGGCGGTTGGTGTTGGTGTGTGGTCACGTGACCCGGTGCAGTGTCAATGTCATTATTCTAGAATGCTTGAGCTACAATTTTTTGCTGCTAATCCGGTCTGCCTGTTTCCTTGATAAATTGCTTGCTGCGGTGCAGTTATTAATTTTCGTTCCGCTTTTTCTTAATGGTTCGGTATTTTGAAGTTCATTGTAGTTAGTTTTTAGTAGAGAAAGGTGGTTAGTGGTTGATGCAGTTTGATTTTGGCGCTAACGCTGTGCTGCTTGCAGGTGCCCGGCGCATCAAGACGGAGGCAGAGCAGTGTGGCAGCCCCCCAGCAGGAGGAGCGCGGTGTGGCCTCAGCGCCCCGGGCGCTGGACAGGACGACTCGGACGGTGAGTGGCTGCTGGCTGGGGCCAAACGTTAGTCTTCGGAGCTCCCCAGTGACATTCTGACCACATCGCTCAGCACTCTTTTAGTCCCCGGAGAAGTTGCAAGTGCCTCCACTTGAGCCTACACTTCACGTTCTCCAGGACACCTGCATGCATCGTTTGATAATCGTATTGATTGTGACGAACGATTCACTGGCTGCCTTCAGAATTGCAGCCCCTGTCTGCTCCTTTGCGATCCATGGCTTGCAATCGCCCTGCCCAAAGTGTCCATGATGCTTGTCATTTATCGTGTGCTGTCGTTCCGACCCGTTTCCCATGGTGCTTGTTCCTGCCAAGATCTGAAATTAACCCCACTGCAGTTGTAGCCTCAGATATTGTCAAATCAGATAAAAACTGAAACCAACTCCGTGACAACCGCTGCTTGCAGGTGCGTGGCGCGTCAAGGTGAAGGCAGAGCAGTGCGACAGCCCTCCTGCAGGTGGATGCAGCGCCGGTGACCCCCCAGGACAGGACGACTCGGACGGTGAGTAGGTCTACCGCAGCTTGTGCTCTCTCTCAGGCAAGAAGTTAACAATAGTGTTGGATTGCTTCGAGTGCCACAGGCGAGTCTTAAGTGTCTTGTATTGAAATAGATTCAGTACGGTATGGTACTTAATGATTGGTTCTCATTCAGATGTGTGAGACAATGCTCAAACAAACGCGACATCTCGTCACATTTGTTTCGAATTTGTGTCAGGTTCTTGGAATGAGTGTCACTATCAAAATAAGCACAGCGTTTCTTGCAGTGGACTGCGCTGACGGCGTGCTGCTTGCAGGTGCCCGGCGCGTCGAGACTGAGGCAGAGCAGTGCGGCAGCCCTGCTGCAGGAGCACCGCGGCGTGGACGCAGCGCCGCGACCTCGGGGCAAGGCGGCAAGGACGGTGCGTACTGGCAGAGAGGCCGCTGCACTGCGAGACCACTGCCCCGCCACCTGCAGCTCGCACTGCACGCCAACGGCGGCGAGTTGGGCACCGCGAGGCGTTGTTGACGGTGTGGGCGTTTGGTTGCAGGGTTGGAGGCTGAGGAGCCGTGGCTGCACATCGACGCCACCTTCTCGCTCGCCTCTGGAGTCGGCCACGCCAAGCAGGACTCCGCGGCCAGCGGCACGGCTGGGGACGGAGGGGCGGACCGCGCTGTCGCCTCGCAGTGTGCGGAGCGTGGAGCGGCCTTGGATGCCGAGGCGGGCCTGGAGAAGCACCTCGCAGCGCGCGGCAAGCGGCACGCCTGCCTACACTGCGGCAAGGACTTCCAGTGGGCAGCCCGTCTTGAAGAGCATTCAAGAACCCACACTGGGGAGAAGCCTTTCAAGTGCAAAGTGTGTGGGAAAAAGTTTGCGTATTCAGGCAAATTGAAATCACATCAACGGATCCACACGGGTGAGAAGCCTTACCAGTGCAAAGTGTGTGGAAACAAGTTCACCCAATCAAGCTATTTGAAGACGCATGAAAGGATTCACACTGGGGAGAAGCCTTACCACTGTAATGTGTGTGGAAAGAAGTTCACCCAATCAGGCGCTTCGAAGGCGCATGAGAGGATCCACACTGGGGAGAAGCCTTTCCAGTGCCAAGTGTGCGAGAAGTGGTTCAACCAGAGGTCTCATCTTGCCGCGCACTGCAAGACCCACGCTAAGAAGAAGACAGTTTAATCCTAATGCACGTAGTTTTTGTATGCGTTCGGACGTTTGCCCATGCGGCCTGCCTCGTAAGACGCAAAGGTGTCCAAGCTTCTCGAGGTTAATTTCAAGGACAGAATTTTCGGTACAAATATTGTATGCGTAAATTCTATCCATCCCTAATAGAGGTCATGTGTATGCGCCTCTTCGTTGTGTTTAAACACACATTGAAGTCTCAAGTTATGTTTTGTTACGAACTAGACACAGTTAATCTTGCCAAAACTTAAAACTTTTCACTAATTTTTGTGGCTAACCGTTTTTTTTTACTGTACTTGGTTATCAAAACGATTTTGCCCTGTGTATTTAGAAAACGTTTTGACCTGTAATATATTCATTACGGACTGGCTGGGTTTGAATATGATGTATTTTCTTTGTTGGCTGTTGATTGTATTGGGATGCAAAAGCTTTGTCCCTTTTCGAGTGATTTATTGTCAATTAAAAGTTTCGTTACTTTTTAGTTCTCCGAATGTATCCCTGATTGAGGGTTTTCTTGGCGCACAATGTTTGGTTCATTGCAATTACCATGTGTTTTTCATTCTGACCTGCCCATATTGAATCAAAATACTCAGCCTCGTCGTGCGTTGTGTGTCGACATGCTCCTAGTACCCAGTTCACATTCAAGTGCCTTGAAACGCTGTATCGGTCTGTGCATGCCCTAGCGGCGGTTGGTGTTGGTGTGTGGTCACGTGACCTGGTGCAGTGTCAAAGTCATGATTCTAGAATGCTTGAGCTACAAATTGCTGTTTCCTTGATAAATTGCTTGCTGCATTGCAGTTATTAATTTTCTTTCCGCTTTTTTTGGCGAGCGATAGCGAGCCCATGCCGTGTTTGGGGGTACCAAAAAGTGACTGGTCGTGCGTCTGTCTGTCTGTGTGTCCGTAACTCACTCACGTTTCTCAGCAACTACTGCACAAATAGTTTCAAAATTTCGCACCGGAAGGCTCCTAAATCTCCCCCAGGGGGAGTTTATCTTATATTCACGATTACTATTGTTTGAAATATTCAAAACATCTTTTTGAATTAGGTTCTTAGCGTGGTTAGGTTGGCAGTGCTTGGCAGCTCGTAGCAATTTTTCATACTTGCGGCCGCGACTCTTAAATACGGGACCTGGCAAAACATTGGCAAATAAAACAAACTAAAGAGCAGAAGGGCTTAGAAGTGAGTACGGTCATAGTTTTTCGATATTTTAGAATGATTGAAACCCCTCCGGAGAGTCAACTCAGTGAAATACGGAAAATGAAAGTGACAATTCTTACGCGTTTCGTCCGTCCGTCCACCCTCTCCCCTCCCCCACTACAGGGGAAATATTTTAGTCAGTGGAGTGTGTTTGATAATTGCAAGAATGATTTGGTCTTTTTAACCTTTGTGAGTGTATTTCCATTTATATTCTCAGACACTATATTTTTTAGTTGTTTGCTTTGCTCAATAACAGTTAGAAAATATATTAATACATTCTATGAGTACAAACCAGATGCTAATCTTGCCAAAATAAATAGTCTTTGCTGACTCTTGGCACTGATTCTGGGAAAAGGCTTCATTGCAATGCTGTGAGTTTACTATAGTACTAACCTTAAAGAAAACCATATGATGAGTGGTTTTAGCGCATTCAAGGTTTGACATTGACATCAGATTCAATGAGACGATTCACTGACTTGGTCATATGATTTCATGAGACGATTCTTTTAACTTAATCATACATTGTCTGCGACAACTGGTAATTTGTGTTTGGGCATGGTTTGAGTTTTCTTTTTTTTTTTTAAAATTTACTCAGAATGTTAGGTAAATACTTTTGCTAAACTGTTTCAAAGATTAAATAACACACCATGACTATCATTATCAATAAGATAAACTTGCATTTAGCAATAAGTGGCCTCGACATTGGATTCTATGACACGATTCATTGGATCTGACAGAAGGTCTTCTCCGTAAAGTAGTTGAAATCAGCCTGCCTGTAAATATGTCTCTTTTTAATTAATGCAGATACATCAATATAGTTAAATCCACCAGTTTAAACTAAAAGGGAGAAAGGCTATTTAGGTATTACTAATAACATTGTGTATTCATAAGTTCAGTAACAAGGAGATATCGAATGGTAATTGAAGTATTTGTGAATCGTATTAAGCAATTCAATGCTGGCTGTTAAATGTTACTCGACTGAGTAACAGGGTCAGGGTTCGTGGCATGACACTATGAACAGGAAACGCTCTTAAGAAACCTAACAACTGAAGACCCATACTTTCAACTAGAATTACATGATTTGCGACCAAAATTTCCTCGGTGTTTCATTGCTTTCTGCAGTATTTGGTGTGCTGATCACGAAAATGACTTCCAATTTCATCTCAGACCTTTACTTTTCCAAATATTTACCAATTTCGGACCAAAATTTTTACATCGAGCTTTACATAGTTTCCTGCAGTTTTTGGTGTGCTGATCACGAAAATGACTTCCAATTTCATCTCAGACCTTTACTTTTCCAAATATTTACCAATTTCGGACCAAAATTTTTACATCGAGTTTTACATAGTTTCCTGCAGTTTTTGGTGCGCTGATCACGAAAATGACTTCCAATTTCATCTCAGACCTTTACTTTTCCAAATATTTACCAATTTCGGACCAAAATTTTTACATCGAGTTTTACATAGTTTCCTGCAGTTTTTGGTGTGCTGATCACGAAAATGACTTCCAATTTTATCCCAGACCTTTACTTTCCCCAAAATTTACCAATTTGTGACCAAACTTTTAAAATTGAGTTTCACATTGACCCTGTATTGGCCTTACTTTGCATATATTCTTCACCATCTTCTACAAGAATACAGACGCATCGCTCGCCTACTACGCGCCCAAACAAAACGGCGCGTACCCCTAGTTTAATGGTTCGGTATTTTGACGTGCATTGGAGTTAGTTTTGAGTAGGGAAAGGTAGTTAGTGGTTGATGCAGTTTGATTTTGGCGCTAACGCTGTGCTGCTTGCAGGTGCCCGGCGCGTCAAGACGGAGGCAGAGCAGTGTGGCAGCCCCCCAGCAGGAGGAGCGCGGTGTGGCCTCAGCGCCCCGGGCGCTGGACAGGACGACTCGGACGGTGAGTGGCTGCTGGCTGGGGACGTTAGTCTTCGGAGCTCACCTGTGGCATTCTGACCACATCGCTCAGCACTCTTTTAGTCCCCGGAGAAGTTGCAAGTGCCTCCACTTGAGCCTACACTTTACGTTCTCCGGGACACCTGCATGCATCGTTTGATAATCGTATTGATTGTGATGAACGATTCACTGGCTGCCTTCAGCATTGCAGCCCCTGTCTGCACCTTTGCGATCCATGGCTTGCAATCGCCCTGCTTAAAATGTCCGTGATGCTTGTCATTTATCATGTGCTGTCGTTCTGACCCGTTTGCCATGGTGCTCGTTCCTGCCAAGATCTGAAATTAACCCCACTGCAGTTGTAGCCTCAGATGTTGTCAAATCAGATCAAAACTGAAACCAACTCCGTGACAACCGTTGCTTGCAGGTGCCTGGCGCGTCAAGGTGAAGGCAGAGCAGTGTGATAGCCCTCCTGCAGGTGGATGCAGCGCCGGCGACCCCCTAGGACAGGACGACTCGGACGGTGAGTGGGTCTACCGCAGCCTGTGCTCTCAGGCAAGAAGTTAACCATGGTGTTCGGTTGCTTCGAGTGCCACTGACGAGTACTTTACCTTGCCCGGGAGACCCAGATCGGCTAAATGCATCTTCTGATCTGATAATAGAAGCGGTTTTGACAAACGAATCAATGGCTTTGCCTTTTGCACAGCACTATCCTTGAGGCTGCTATCGCCCCGGTTGAGATTTCCGTGATACTTACTTTGGACCGTGGGCGGTCATTTACACATAATGGCCTTGGTGGTCGTTGCAGCCACAATCTGGCGCCTCTATTGGCCTCACTTTCTTAGAGCAGCTACAACGCGTCGGGTAATTTTTTTGTCTCAACAAGAGTGCAGCTCTGTGAGACTTGCAGACGAGACTTTTTAGAGAGCTGACTATTTTTACCACACGTTCCTCTGAAAAATAACCTATGTTCGTATATTTTCAGACTGTCTTAAGTGTCTTGTATCGAAGTGGATTCAATACGAGATGGTACTTAATGGCTGGTTCTCATTCAGATGTGTGACACAATGCTCAAACAAACGCGACATCTCGTCACATTTGTTTCAAATTTGTGTCAGGTTCTTGGAATGAGTGTCACTATCAAAATAAGCACAGCGTTTCTTGCAGTGGACTGCGCTGACGGCGTGCTGCTTGCAGGTGCCCGGCGCGTGGAGACGGAGGCAGAGCAGAGCGGCAGCCCTGCTGCAGGAGCACCGCGGCGTGGACGCAGCGCCGCGACCTCGGGGCAAGGCGGCAAGGACGGTGCGTACTGGCAGAGAGGCCGCTGCACTGCGAGACCACTGCCCCGCCACCTGCAGCTCGCACTGCACGCCAACGGCGGCGAGTTGGGCACCGCGAGGCGTTGTTGACGGTGTGGGCGTTTGGTTGCAGGGTTGGAGGCTGAGGAGCCGTGGCTGCACATCGACGCCACCTTCTCGCTCGCCTCTGGAGTCGGCCACGCCAAGCAGGACTCCGCGGCCAGCGGCACGGCTGGGGACGGAGGGGCGGACCGCGCTGTCGCCTCGCAGTGTGCGGAGCGTGGAGCGGCCTTGGATGCCGAGGCGGGCCTGGAGAAGCACCTCGCAGCGCGCGGCAAGCGGCACGCCTGCCAACACTGCGGCAAGGTGTTCCAGTGGGCGGCCGAGCTTGCAAGGCACTTAAGGACCCACACTGGAGAGAAGCCTTTCCAGTGCAAAGTGTGTGGGAAGAATTTTGCGTTGTCATTCAATTTGACCAAGCATGAAAGGATCCACACTGGGGAGAAGCCTTTTCAGTGCAAAGTGTGTGGAAAGAAGTTTTCGGAGTCAAGCAATTTGATCAAGCATGAAAGGATCCACACCGGAGAGAAGCCTTTCCAGTGCAAAGTGTGTGAAATGAAGTTTATCCAATCAAGCGATTTGAAGGCACACGAAAGAACCCACACTGGGGAGAAGCCTTTTCGGTGCCAAGTGTGCGAGAAGCGATTCACATGGAGGTATTCTCTTGCCGCGCACAGCAAGACCCACGCTAAGAAGAAGCTAGTTTAATCCTGCACGTAGTTATTGTATGCGTTCGGCGTTCCCCAAAGCGGCCTGCCTCGGAATGCGCAGAAGTGTTGAAACTTTTCGTGGTTCAATGTAAGGACAGGCTTTTCGGTTCAAATATTGCAGGTGTAATTTCTGTCCACCCCCGCTAGAGGTCATTTGACTGCGCCTCTGACCTGTGTTTAAACGCACAGTGAATTCTCAATATTCTTTTGTTACGAGCTTGAAACAAGTGTTCTGCTCAATCTTGCGACAAAACTGTAACTTTTAACTGATTTTTGTGACTAACTGGTTTTTTTTTTTTACTCTATTTGGTATTCAAAATGTTCTCGCCCTGTGTACTTAGAAATCTTTTGACCTGTTTTATATTCGTTACGGACTGGCTGGGTCGGAATATGATGTATTTTCTTTGTTGGCTTTTGATTGTATTGGGATGCTAAAGCTTTGTCCTTTTTTCGAGTGATTTATTGTCAATTAAAAGTTTTGTTACTTTCTAGTTCTTCGATTGTATCCCTGATAGAGGGTTTTCTTGGCGCACAATGTTTGGTTCATTGCAATTACAATGTGTTTTTTGTTCTGACCTGACCACATTCAATGGAAATGCTCAGCCCCGTCGTGCGTTGTGTGTCGACTTCCTTCTATTACCCACTTCACACTCACGTGCCTTGAAACACTGTATCGGTCTGTGCATGCCCTAGCGGCGGTTGGTGTTGGTGTGTGGTCGAGTGACCTGCTGCAATGTCAATGTTCTTATTCTAGAATGCTTGAGCTACAAATTTGTGCTGCTAATCCGGTCTGGCTGTTTCCTTGATAAATTGCTTGCTGCGGTGCAGTTATTAATTTTCGTTCCGCTTGTTTTAATGGTTCGGTATTTTGAAGTGCGTTGGAGTTAGTTTTGAGTTGGGAAAGGTAGTTAGTGGTTAATGCAGTTTGATATTGGCGCTAACGCTGTGCTGCTTGCAGGTGACTGGCGCGTCAAGACGGAGGCAGAGCAGTGTGGCAGCCCCTCAGCAGGAGGAGCGCGGTGTGGCCTCAACGCCCCGGTTGCTGACGATTCGGACGGTGAGTGGCTGCTGGCTGCACTGTAAAAAATTATTGTAAATTTACGAATTTTTTTTTACAAATTCCCTGTAAAGTAACAATAACATTTCGTTATTTTATGAAATTTATTCGTAGAGGCCGTTTCATGAATTATTCATCACAGAAATCTTCTTAATTTTCTGAAATTTGTTTGTGAACACCGCCTTATGAAATCGTAGGTACAATATACATCTCAAACGTGACTATAATACTACAGCAATGTCCAAAAAATATGAAAAGTTTCCTAAAATTACACCAAATGCTTGGGTAATTCCGTTGCACAAATCGCTTGTAAAATTACGAGACACGGTGATGCCTTCATTATTTTACAAGATGTTTCATAAAACAAAAAAAAAACGCTGAAATAAGTCAATCTCCATTTAATCAGCGTGACAAGGTAGAACAAAAGCGGTCCACGTAATTTGGAGCGTGCAAAAAGTTTGTGATTTTAAAAACTACTGCGTGAAGAATAATTCATAAACCGTCAAGAAACAAAAAAACGTTGTAAATTTTCAGATAATTTGTGCAACGAAATTACACTGAAAATAGAAAGGTCATACTTTTGACCGCTTAAACGGTCTTACTAAAATGTACGACCGAAAAACGGTCATATTTCGATGTATGACCGAAAAACGGTCATACTTTGATGTATGACCGAAAAACGGTCATACTTCGATGTATGACCGCAGTAATTTCCACTACAAATGTTACAGAATTTTGTATCAGCACTGATACAAAATTTTGTATCACGCGTTACGGTAAACTGTTTCCCGGTTACAGAATTCTGAAATGCGAAAATCATAAAAATTTGTCGTTTTATAAACAAAATTTGAACCGCAACGATCGTTCGTTCCTACACATTCGCTCCGTCGTTCCTGTACTCCCGAACACCCGGAGAAACCGAACTGCGTTCTCCGGAACCGAACCCCGGTCCCCCGGATTGCCAGCTCGGCATGCTACCGCTTGCGCCACAGCGCCGTATGGGGAGGCACGCCTCAGACTGTCGATCACACCGAGCGGGCACGCTGCATGCCCAGGTAGTGGTGGGAAACGAGCCCTGCGGCGCGACAGTTAGAGTTCCTGGCCTGAAGCTTCTAAGGTACCATGCCCCACGTTAGGACTTTTCACCCGATCAACTGTGATGTTAAAATTAAGCTCGTAATTTGACTTTAAATTTGCGTTTTTAATTTTTGCATCAGACGATACGCAAGTTTGTAACGATATGTTACGGTTTTCTGTATCAGTTACAGTTATTTGCATAAAGATCGCATTTTTACATGGAACTATATCACTGATTGTGAATATTGAAACGAAAAGTACAGAATTTTGTATCAGCTTTAAAATTTTGAAGCACTGATTCGTAAATTCGTAACGTTCTTGACGTGATACAGAATTTAGGATCAAGGATACAAATTTTTGTATCCGACTGACGTGTTACAAAATTTTGTATCAAGATCGTTACAAAATCCTATATTATTTTTTAGAGTGCGGGTAAAGGCTGATATATCCCCAAGCTAAACAATAGCCAGTCTCGCTGATGTCTGACCTTTTTTTGGTCATACATTTAAGTATGACCGTTTTTCGGTCATACATTTGTGTATGACCGTTTTTCGGTCATACATTTGTGTATGACCGTTTTTTCGGTCATACTTTT